TTAGGTGTCTTGAAGAGACAAATTTGTTTGACCCCAGGCAAGAGCATTTGTCAAGCCAATTCCTCAGACTAGGTGTTTTAGAGTCTTTCTGTTACTGTCTTACGTAACCTAGCTGTGACACTAACACTTGAGCTACATTAGTCACAGCTTAGCCCTTCACAAAAATATGCGGTCCCATTACCCTCTTCCAGGAAGGGAAACTGAGTCATAGCATATCAACTAGCTTCCCCAAACACAGCCTTAGTTTGTAATGAGGCCACCATTGAACCCAGGTTGCCTTTCTCCTATTCTTTTCATGAGTAAATCTTAGCATGTCCACCCCTGCTGCTCTTTTTCCTTCAACCTGAAACTACATCATTGCTTTCTAGAGAGGCAGAGAGATGGGCACACTTGATCCTTTAGAGCCAACAGGAGCTTCTAGTTCTCCTCTTTCCCAAGAAAGAGGAAGGGGAAAGAGGAACATGGAGCAGAGGAAGGGAGGATTGGAAAGGAGTGGCTCCCAATACTAGAACTCACCTTGGAACTGAGGTCCTCTCGGCGATTTCCTGCCTTACCCCTGCGTAATTTGATGGATGGGGATCGTAGCAGGTTCTTGATGCGGCTGGTAATAGTTGACCCGTCCACAGCCATCATGATGAGCAGTCCCGGGACAATTCCTGGCCCAATCTTGGGACTTGTCTCAACAGCAGCACTGCCTTTCCACTCCAAAGGGTCTTTCGGTATACGCTCTCACTGACCTGAGATGGTAGAGGCCACCTTACCTTCTGCCTAGCAGTGTCTGCAGCTCTTATCTCTAGGTATTGCCCTCTCCCCTCTCCTCGTCCCCACCTTCAAGCCCTATGCGGTTCCTTTCAACGTCTGAAGGACAGACCCATGAAAAGGGGGGAAAAACTCGGAGCTGTGAAGAAATGCCAGGCCCATGCCGGTCAGAGGCGTTTAAACTGGAGGGATGGATGGGATCTAGTAGGGTAATGGCTGGTATGGTCACCGTTAATTCCCAAGTGTTTCCATGGCAACTGTAATATCCAACGAAGGAGGCCACCGAGGAGTCCCTCGGGGGGGTTTGGGCACCTGCGCTGGCGGCCGCGAGGACACTCGGCGTGGCGGGACTCGCTGTGGCCGGGCAACCCGTTCAGCCACGGCAGCCTCCCTCCCCCACCCCCGACCCTCTGGAGCTCCCTCTCGGCACCCCCCAGGGGCCCTGCACCTTTCTTTTTCACCTCCCTCAGAAGCCCCTGCTACTCGCCAGCGCCCCCGTTCGGACCCAGCCTCACCCGCCCCGGGGCCCGAGGGCCGCGCCGCTCACAGCGCCCTCAGGCATCGCGCTCCGCGATTTCAGCTCCACAGTCGCAGCAGCAGCAGCAGCTATGGTGGCACCAGCGGCTCAAAACGCGAACTACCGCCTGGGCCAAATTACGGGCTGGGTAGGTGGAGCCGAGGCGAGGGGGTGTGGTCTGTATCCAGGGGCGTTCCGAGAGTGGACCAGTAACGTTTGTGGGGGCGGAGCCAATAAGAGCGCCTAGGAAGCAGAGGACCTGGGACTCGAAAATCGCGGAGTCCGCACAACGTAGTCGCGGGCATAGCTCATTAAAGGAAGGTCTACAGAACATGGCTTCAGAATTGAAAGACCCAAGCCTTTTATGGTATTATGAGACCTGGCCCCCCAGAGTACTGCATTCCCCATGGCCCCAAGATAGAACCACGCCCCCAGGGTGTCACAGTTGGCATTTGATAGGACCGAGGGACCAGAGCTGAAACTAACTCCTAGCTCAGAATTACAAGATTGAGATGAGACACAGCCATAAGGCTCTGCTCCCATCGACCCCAAGTGCTGGAACTTAAAGCGGTTAGAATAGTTGCTCGGCAGAGCGTTGACCTACGTATAATTGACTCTCTGGAGTAACTTTTTCGATTGCTAAGAAGTGTTATTAACTGGGCAACCTGCTTGGCCATGATGGAATAGAGCGGGGGGGGGATTGCCTTGAATAGAGCTTTAGGCGTTTGGGGGAGAGCAAAGGCAAGTGAAGGTGCCTATGGGACACATTTGTTTCCTGGTTTCTTTAGCCTCCTATGTTCCACCGCGCTCTCACCCAGTTAAACAGGACTTGGTTGTTCCAGATCTTTTCCTTGTTCCGGTCAAAATTTACTCGTGAAACTTCCCCCTAGTACTGCTACTTTAGCGAGGTCACTGTCAAGCTTGCTGATACTAGATTTAGTGGTACAGTTCTTCTAGCTTATAGGGGTTGGGGGCGCACACAGAAATACCTTTACAATATTATTTCACAGGTGTCTCAGCCTAAGAATGTATTTTCTAAGAGCCTTTGTGCCTCTGCTACTTCAAGAAATTACCTTGTGAAAAGGTTAGCCTAATCCAAAAGACTTGGGCCCCAAACTGTACAGTGATGTAACTGTCTCACCCCATCCAGATCCTTGGAACCCCTGGGGGCGTTAGCAAGAGGGAAGGATCCCTAAACCCACTGCTGTGGGTGTTTTGTACAGCCAAGTGGCAAACAGGTATGTGCTTGTGTGTACTGTAACCACGTACTAAAAATGAGATCTGTAAAGCTCACAGGTTCACACAAAGATCAAGGAAGTTGCCTCCTAGAAGACCAACTGGCAATAGCTACCAGAGGCATGAGGCATCCTCCCTTCCTTTCAACTATGCACTGCAGATGTAATGAAAAGTGGAATTTTCACATTTATTCCCCAAATGTGGAAGGAGGCAAGAGCCATTAGGCACAACAGTATAAAATAGGAGGTTGGTTCTTTCAACTTGCTAGTCTGTGATTTTTACCTCTATAGGGGTAGGAGCCAATATAACACTAATAAATGGTGCCACCTGGTGTCCTTACTCGTGTGCAGCATCCCCAGCAACTGCCATCTCCATCTTGGAGTTGTCCCTAATTCTCTCCAGATTATGTTTGTGTCCACTAGCGGTTTTCTCACTCATGGGTTTACAAAGTGTCATTAGTCATTTCCTGTCCAACACTACACTGGTTTGTACCCTTAGAGAAAATGTTCTCCAAATTACCCTCATCTGAAGCTGAAGCTGCAAAGGCAAATTCAAGTTCCTGCTTTGTCTAAGATAATTTAAGTGAAGAGCAATAGAGAACAGTGTAATGATATAAGAATTCTTAAGTCTGGATATTTCCAGTCTAGGGCTAAAACCACATTTATTTTTAATTCTTCACAACTTAGTCCAACCTTTACTGTGTAGATATCAGGCAGCCTCTGAAGTGCCAGTGTGCGAATAGGCTGTAGGCTGTTCCCAAGTTTCACGAATTCCTCAGAAAATAGTCCCAGGTCCAGTGTGAATAGAAGCCTCACTCCCTCGTCTACAAATTAAATACATGCCATCCCACCCTCCAAAATACTGGTGACCCTTACATAAATATTTCACCATTAATATGCTATTTCACTTTGTGTTCTGCTTGTATATGTCCTAAACATATTTACATGGTTGTCACTCTAAAATACTAGATGTCTAGGAAAAGATGTATACATATACATACACTTTTCTGTTTTGCACTATGCTCATTAGACCAGATTTTAAAATTCACCCTAGATTTAACATGCCAATATATGCAATTATAAGATCCTGGAAAACTAATAGGATAGAGTAAATATTTTCGCTCATCAAATATTTATTGAGCACCTTTACATGCAAGGCACTGTAGGACAGCTGAGACCAATGCTTGCAGTTGGAAACAGGATGAAATCTCAAAGCAATGCTTCCAAGACTGCTTTCTTATTTAATAAAATCTCTTCTAACAGCAGAGTTTACAATAGAGAATTTAGTAGAGCTTAGATTTGTCTCAAAATTCCCAACTTATCCCATTGTTTAGCTATCTCACATTCCACACATACCTCCATCACTATTATCCAATGATTATATATCTGCCAGAGAAGTTCAAATTTAATTTACTACAATCATACCTCAGTTCAAAAGTTGTATATATCAAATTACTTCCCTCTAAATTTCAAAAATGCACCGACTGATCTTTTTTCTCCAAATGGCAGTGTGTCTGTTATACACATATGTCAGCTTTAATTTTTCTCTGCATCCAGCCATTCATGTTTATGTAAAATTTTACTACAGATAATACATTAAGTATTGATGTCGTTGCAAGCACTTTCTTCAAAATCAATTTTGTGCAACAAATGTATTGATTCTTAGTTATCAATCATTCTCTGTAAAAGTACCTGAAAATGTGCCTACTCTGTGCATTGCTTTTTTTTTAAAATATGGGAGTGAGGAACAAGGGTTATTATCATCATTTTTTAGACCTGTTGTCAAAGTGCATTTACCTCTCAATTCACCTGATCCCATTCCATTTGAATTTCTCAACCAGTATAATTAGGGGGGAAAAATATACTACTAAACCCCGACCAAAATAATATATGAGTGGATTCTATGCTTTTCTTCTGTGTTCAAAACATTTTCAAACTTATTATTGAAAGGCCTACTTTCAGGTAGTTCATCCATAATTCGGGGGGGGAGGGGAGCTGCATCTATTATAAAATTACACAAAGTAATTTGTATGAAGTTTATATAACTGGACATGATCTGTGATGTTAGAGTAGTCCAATCTAAAGGACTCCTTTAATAAAATGTTTTTGTAAATTGTGATACTAGTTAACATATATTTGCTTTAAGAACACCTATTGTCCTTACCTGCTAAGACCGTTTATGTCTTGTTACTCAGGTAACAGGTATATCACCTTGCACACCTTGGTACTATGAGGCTAGCCTATCTTCACTGTAGAACAATCTTGAGACATACTCTTGCCGTCAAGTTGTACAAAATTTTGAAGTCTCCATGTAAAAAATGCTTTAAGGATTAGAACACCAAAAACCTTCCTCAAATGGCATGTCAGCAACTGAAAACAGTAAGAAATTCCTATGATAAAAGAACTTCAGTGGCACCTCTCTCAAATATCTCAGGGGATTAGGATTCTCTACTCCAACTCAGCACAAACCTCCCAACACCAAGTTCTGCTTTAATTATTATAACTGATTTATTTATTTCAAGTTTATACATTCTGCCTTCCACTCGCCCAACTTCTTCTGTTCTTAGGTTTCTAAAAAAATAGTCATTTTTCAAAAGCAGAAAAGGAAAGATATATATTTAATATACAAAAGAAAAGGCTAAATCTGACATAATTATATTCTTAAAAACATTCCATTTATTTACAGATGTATAAAAAGGCGAATTATTGGTCTACTGAGATCATGCTTCTTAGAGTTAGGGTGAGAGCTCACTATTCTCCCGATTCCTCAACTCCTCTCATTCAACTACATCTTTCATAATCACACATGTAATTTTCATAGATCAGTTTTTCCTGGGGTAAGGTTAAAAGGTAGGAGTTTTTGGAGATTTTAGATTTCTGTCAAACTGCATGATTGTTCTGAAGACTGAGCCCTCCTCAAAATAGCCCTGATAACTTCCTAGCTCTAAGAGGTCTTGAAAACACCATTATCTTGGGGATTTGTAATGATATCTGAAGCCTTCCTTGAACACCAGGAATCATCTCTCATTTCCACCTCTGTATATCTCTCATAAACAGAGTCAAATATCTTCCCATAAAGAACTTGAGTATTACCTGTTTTTTTCTATAAAAAAAGGGAACAGTGTTCAGAGCAGAATGGTCCTTCTTTTCCTGAGGGTATTCGCTCACTTGCCTGTTCCTTGGCTGACCCTCAAAAGCCTAACAAGAGCCTTGGGAAGTCAGGAGGAAATATGAGGACAAGACAAGCAAGGAAATAATGGGAAACTGCTATACCTGGATTAAAGTACTAGCATCTCCAAGGACAATTATTAGCGGGGAAGACAGGTGCTGGGCTCCTTGGCTAAGGCATTGAATAAAATCTGCTGGGTAAAGAGGAGTGGGAAGGATAATGAAAAGCTGAAGGGCACTCATTACCCACTTCAAGCTTCTTCAGTAATCTTAGAGGAGGGAAGGTTGAATGCTGGATGAACAAGCACAAAACCAACAAAGAATTTGTTCCCACTGCAATCTGCAGAGGAAATTTTTCCACCCTTTTCAATCTGTCGATTACCAGATTTACTAGAAAGGGAACCAACCATGGAAGTAATAATTCACTGGCTAAAACCATCCAAAGTTGGTCTTACAACCTAGATCTGAAGATATGCTGAGTGGGATTTGGGATAAAGGTGGCAGGGGATATAGAGGAAATAGCGTCACCTAGGCACAGCCCAGGCACTGGAAGCTCTTGTGTTAGTGTTTAACAACACAAGCAAATCCTGTCAATGAAGACAGAACATGGGTTACATTCCAAAATATAATTATTTAAGAAAGGCAAAATGCAGCAGCTAAGTCCCAGTCTATACATTTTCAGAATAGTGATTCTTGCCCCCAGGAGTTTTCAAGAGACCCCTCAAGTGCACCATGATTATTTACAAACTAGATAGGAAACATCATTTCTATACTCAATACAAATCTCATCTTCTAGGTTGAAAACTTCAGCCTTTGAGAAATCTATGAAAACAACTATACAAAAATATAAATATCTTTATCTTTACAGGCTGTCAGTCCTTCATACCCTGACAGCTAATGAGTGAAAAAGTTCTTCAGATCATTGAATCCATGGTAGCAGATAATAAAAAATATATCTTGTGATTCAAATACTTCCTATTTCCCTGGTAAAGAGTGCCTACTGTGACTTTCCTTTACTCCACATCATCTGCAGGTAATAAGTGAATGAAACCTTCAAGCACCAGGAGGCTGGTTTGACTTGGGAAATATCCAGCCCCACAATTTTTTATTTTGGCCACTGTCTCTGGTCTAGGAAGGGAATGCTTTTTATTTTAGCTGTCTCTTAAGTGACATGATTTGTGAAAGGGGGAGGGTTCCCTCTATGTCTACCTCCAAAATATATATTCCAAGTACAAATCCCTGGTACTGTGAAATGGTCTTTTCAAAGCCCAAAGACAACAAGGGAGAACTAGTATATTTTTTAACATCTCAAAATAATTATCTTAGTAATAAAAGTTAAAAGCATTCCTACTTTACCAGAAGGCTTGGATTGATCATTCTGATTGAAAAGGAGAAAGAAGGGAAGCTACTTGGGATATAAAAGAAGAGAGAATTTTGCTAAATGACACACAGTCCTTCACTTTGGTATTCCATGGTACCCATCCCTCTCCCCCCCTACTCTTGAAACACCAACAAGAAACTATCTCTTCTGGATCCCTCTGCACAAGTGCATCACATTCCTTGGATTTCAGACTCAAACAACAGCTATCAGCTATAGTTCAGTCCATAGCAAGTCCAAACTCTCAAGCAGCTTTTTCTCTGGGAGGGAAGAACTAGGAAACCACTATGAATCAGAATCTCGTTATGAATTCCTTGGGTAAAAGGGGCACCTCGTGTTCAGTAATGGATCACATCTTCTTAGAGAGGATGAAGAGACCCAGCACCACAAATGAGGTAACACATTTTAACATGATCAGAATTTCATAGTAGTAACTTCTTATACCGAGGTCAGAACCCTTTCTCTACCATTATCCACTGCATCAAAGTCAAGGATCACAGTCCCATGACAAATAAACAGATACCAACAGAGAAAGGAGGTTTCCCCTCACAGCTTGGCCTCCGCCTGAGGATAAATAAGTTCATTTCCCTGTAGAACTTGGTGAGGCCCCAGAGTTGCTTGATTTGGCCACAACAGGTGCCAGCGTAGGCATCACCTTGCTCTCCCGGCATTCCTGGTCACTCCCTGTTAAGTTTATTTTGTGTCCAACTGACCCAACTTTGGCAGCTACAGGTGCCAAGCAAGGCATCACCTTGAGACTCTGACCATCTGCATCACTGGAAGGATGAGCTACTTTTAAACCTAGAGGTGCCAACTTTGGCATAGGCCTCCACAAAGTATCTGTGCTGCTGTTCTCTAGGCCAGCCTTCATGTGTAGAATGGGGGGTGAGGACACACTTTCAGGCTCTGCAGGAACGCGAGAAGCACTCTTCCCTCCATCACTGGATTTCCTATGGGAAAGAAGGGAATCCTTTATCTCAGTGTCAATAACAATCTTAAGGACATCTGGCTCAGAGGCTGGTTCTGCAAGCTGTTTTTCATTCTCAGAGAAGTCATCATCTTCCAAGTGCAAGAGGAGAGGACTCACCGAGTCACTCTCCCCTTGTACATCAGGCAACTCTTTCAAACCAGTTCCCAAGTGGCCAACCTGGAAAGTTGCTCTGTTCCCAGGAGGAAGCTTACTGATAAAAGCCCGTCGAGCATCCCCTGGGAACTCTGTATCGATAGCGCTCGGCAGTTCTGCCAAGCTAACAGAGTCATCATTTAGTTGCTGATTAAGAAAGGCAATCTCATTAAGCAGAGAAGTCAGTGTCTCATCAGTATCATCCTCATCTTCCATGTTAGTTAGCAGTTCGCTGGGATCCAGTGCTGCTTCCTCTATAGCTGAAGCTACTTTTCTCAGTTCCATCTCTATGCTTGAGTCTTTGAGATCTTTCATCTTTAATTTATGAAATGGAGACTCCTTTGACTTCAGTCTCTCCCGTCTTGATTCACTCTCTTTCCATTTATACTGAATCCCTCTCATATCACCAGAAATCTTTTTGGGTAAGAACTCTTGTGCTTCTTGCATACTGGAAACATCAACTACTTGTGGAAAAACAGAATTTTTATTTGCCAGAAAAACCTGTGTGGGACTCAATGCCCTTCTGCCATCTCTCTGGTTGCCTCTTGTAGAGATTCTACCTGAATCTTCAAAGGGGTTATCTTCATTCCTGACGGTGTTTTTCAGGTGGTCAGGAGGCTTACCATCAGGAACTTCATGAGAGTATTTGCTGCCACCCATATCTACCAAACCTCCATCTGTGGCCAGTGATGTCACATTAACAATTCTTGGCATCATGAATAAGTCGTCATTTTCTGGGGGCAGAAAAAATTTCATTTAGATCTACAGTGGTAAGCATCTCTCTCTCTCATTCATACCCAATGACCACTTTAGGGAATTGTAGTTAAAACTCACCAGTCTACTTTTATCAAAAAGATGAAAGGAAATATTAGTTCTTCAAATTATGGCTCTAACCTAACAAGATAACAGGTAAAACCTAACCAAAAGATTCTTTGCTATTCCATCATTAATAAGTTCTATTTAATTATTTCATAGAAATGCTCCCCAAGTTAATTCTTTACCCTAAGGCAGACATGCATCTTCACTCTGTTCACCCAATTAGCTGCTATTCTGAGGAGAAAAAAGAAGCCCTATAGGCAGATTGTAAGAAAAAGAATGACTCCTTCAAAATGGATTTAGCAGTATTAGACTAATAAGGATACCTTTTTAACCTTAATAGAAATTTAGGTGCCTAGAATCTAAATCATCACAGTGAGACTCGTTTTCAACTCTACTCCTTATCCCCAAAAGCAAGTGGTGCTCAAACTGAATCAGGCTGGTAATGGAGGAATACACCATCTGATTACAATACAAAATTGACAAATATTTATAAACACCAAAAACTAAAACTCTAACTCTTCATCTTCCTTTTACTCTCACATCTTTTCAGTTCCTTTCCTACTTAGAAATAACTAGAGATCACAAAATAGTTCCCAATCCCAGGTAAAAAAGATTAATCAGTAATACCACAGATGGAGCCAAATGTGTACTAAAAAGAGGGTTATCTCTTACTAGGCCCATGCGACTGCAACAGCTCTTCATCATTGCAGAACACATTCAAAGGCTTTCCGTCACAGTGAGATACCAGGAATAATTCTCTCTCACTACCCAGAGGACACCACCTATGACATACCTGACTGGTTCACAGCACTGTTGGCAACTTGAGGCTTCAGATCTGCTTCTAAGAGAGCAGGAGAAACAGTTACCACTGGTCCTGAGAACAGGGGACCTTTTAAGGTGAGCAATTGCCCTTGTGGAGTCATCACGATGTTGGCAGATGTGTGTGGAGTGTTAGAGGGTGAGGTATTTTCTGTAAGGAAGATCAGAAATTAGTTAATGATAAAAAATCCTCAACTAATGCTAGTATGACCTAGGAGTCTAGGAGACATCCCCAAACCACATACTGACTTAAGAGGCAAGAAATAAATTTCATATTTAGTTAGGAAACCTCAAGTTGGAATTTACTTTCTGAACCACTTTTCACTGAAAAATGATTACCTGTCCACTGATTCTTGTAATGAACAGAATTTTCTACTGCTGAGGAACAGGGCTACGGAACTTTTTCAAGGGAATGCTTCTGATAGCCTTGATGCTGAATCTGGGTGAAGGCACATACAATTCTATAACTAGGCTTGCTTTCCTATAAACCTCTAACAAATTACTTCAGGTTTCTAGACCTCAAGTTTTTCCATCTGTGAAATGAAGTAAAGGGACTAAATGATCATTAAAATCCTTTCTTGGCAAAAGTATTACTTGATTGTACAATGTTAAAATTAACTCATATTTCAGTATCCATCACTACTTTCTTAGTTGATTTAATAAATCAGATATCCTGGTTCATATACTGGGCTATCCAAAGAGTAAAAAAGGATATACCATCTTCTAAGGATATAAACAAGTAATGTAAAATCAATACAGCCTCACTTCCAAAATCAAGATAGGAGAGCAGTAAGTTAAAACCAATTTACTGATAGGCAATTCACTGATAGGCAATCTAATGGAAAACAGAGCCTGATTCAACAAAATTAAATTTTTAAAAAATTTCCTATTTATCTCAGCTACAGACAAAATTCCTCAACTCATGAGCAACAGTGGAGGAAATCAAGAGTTCATGTATAAAGTCTGAAAAGATGGCAGCCTAAAAAAAGACTGAAACACTAGGGGAAAAAGCATGACTGTAGACTGCTATCAGAAGTAAGTCTTAAATGTTACCATGACTGGTAACTTCTTAAGATTTGCTTGAGTGTGAAAGCAAGAAACAAAAATCTAATGTAGTTAATGTTCTACTTTTTATACAACCTATATTTATATTTAATTCATTCAATTAAAATTATGGCCACGAGCTGCTGAGTCCACTGAACTGAACTGATGCTCATCTACATTAAGGAAAGCAAAAAATGTCCCTCCTACCTGTGGCCTGGTCTCTTTTTCTGGAAAGAATCAAAGGTTTCCCCTTTCTGTTATTTATAAACATCTGTTCAAGATCTACAGATGATGCAGAAGATCCTTCCTGCTGTTTGCTAGTCCTGGGAGACACATCAAACTCATCTGATCCCATCTTCTTTTTTCTTTTTTGTGCCTCTAGTGCTTGTTGTTTTGCATAAATATATTCTAGCTTCTTCAGGACCACTTCTTCTGTCTTACCTACAGGTTGACAGGGAATAAATTGTCACTCTCTATGTGACCCCGCATAATAATGAGAAATAGAGTCAACTGAAATCCAGTTGATTTAACTATATTCCCCAAAACTATGGAAGGTAAGAGTGATTATAATCCAGAAGAAACGTCCCACCCAGTCAAAAGATAACTCTGCTGTTAACTCTGGGAATCAAGCTATAAACTAAGTAGTATCTGAAAGATATGAGGATTTCTCTTCACTAAGATGTTATTATACTCTTTACCAGAGATCATTCATATATCTCACCTGAAAGAGATGAAACTTTCCGTATCAAAATATTCCGTTTGCGAGTCAGGAGATTTTTCTGTCCTATCAACTTGTCGGCCTGATCTGTTAGTCCCTGAATTTCGCTGAATGCCTAGAACAGAAATAGTAATATATCAATCAATTCACTCTTTCCTAAAAATGGATAAGGCCTACATAATTTCTTTCATGAAAAAATTTAATATTTTAGAAAACTTTATTAATGCCTTAAAAGAATTCTTGATGTTTTAGAAATTTGTTGTTAACTGCAAGTTTTCTGGCTTATACTTCTAGGGATACATATTTCCAAAAAGTATCACTGAGTGGTTAACAGGTGTTCCAACTACTGTAAGGAGATATAAAACATTTCATTCTGCTTAGATTTTAATAATAAACTTTTAAATCATCTTCTAGTCTAAGTAAAATCTGGATGAAATAACTGTTCTACAGGGATATGAATGCTTGCCTAGTACTCCTCCAACTTCTACTTTAAAAGCAATTTAAATGAAATTACCTTAGATATTCCACATGCAAACTTAAAACTTCTGCTAGCTTGAATATCTCAGGTCTTCGTTTAAAAATGACTGTCAATTGTACTGACATACATAAGAAGTACATTAAAATTCTCTTATGTTGTACTTTTCACTGTGGTAAACTTTTCTAAGTGCTATGGAGACCACCAATGTAAAGGGTTTATGCTAAACAGAGCTTACCAGGGTTTCTGACTTTATTTGAAGGAGGGATAGCTCTGCGGATTAAAACTCTTGACTTTCATTGAAATACTACTCTAACTCAATTTAAGGACTTTACCCCCTGAAGGATTTATGGGCCTTCACCAGTCCACATTCAATGTTAAATACAACTCTATTTCAACCTCCCTCATATGATAATGCTTTCTCTTCTCCTAGTATCTCTAGAAGATTCTTAGTCAAGCTCTTATTTGTCATTTACACAGAACACTTACCCTAGTAAGAATGAGACTTTTGGAAACCTTGGAAGAATGAAGTAATCCCAATGTGATCTTCAATTTCTCAAAAAGATCCCTCATTTCACCACGCCGGCGCCGCTCATTAGCAGTGTGTGTTCGGCGATAATAAGCAAAAGCTTCTGCTTCTTTCTGTAGTTTTTCACTCCAGTAATCAGGCTTCAGTTTTAGAGGCATTGGTGGAGGCTGTCCAAACAAATGATTGCCACTTAAATATCTCACATATACCTTCCCTCTTCCGCCATCCCAAATGGCATTGCTCTGTATCAGACACCTACCATCTTCTGTCTGGACTATTGTAACAGCCTCTCAATTAGTCATCTTACCATGATTGTCTAGCCTTCCTCCACATGGAACTTCAAGAAACAGTATAAATTCTTAACTTATCATTTAAACCTCAAACTTTGCATTTTTCAGAAAAATCTTTTTGACTCTCAGGATGCCTTAGGCTTCCTTTCTATTTATTTCATTTCAATTTTTAAAATTGTTTACTATAAAAAATAGATGCATATAGGGTTTTAAATAGAAATATTTAGAAGGCTTTTAATGAAAAGCAACTATGCCCTGAACCTGTACATGGATTTTCAGAAACAACCACTTTTTGATGCTTTTATATGCTTTTTCTGGTTCTTAAATATTTATTTAAATAAAAAAAACAGTTCCGTGGGAACGCCGGATGGCGTGTTGGTTAAGAGCTGGCTTGGGACGCCAGCTCTGAGCAGCAGCGCCCCTGTTTGGATCCCACATGAGGGCCAGTGACACTGCGCCCTCTACAGCTAAGATACTGAACAACAGCTTGACCTGGAGCTGGGCTGTGTGAGTCGCCGGCAATGGCATAGGCTGCAGTGAAGCAACAGTGGGCTACCATAAGCTACGGTGAGTGGCTGGCAGCTAGTGTGAGGTACCAAAAGGCGCCGTGAGCGGTCATCCAGTGGCCGGCAACCGATCTGCCTCACCCAGGAAGAGTGCAATGATAATACCAACATGAGCCAGTGAAGCGACATCCTCCACAACTAGACTGAAGAACAAAAGGACAGCAACTTGTCTTTTCCCCTTCCCCAATTCCCAATGTTGTTCCCTCCCCCAATTCCCTCAATAAAATCTTTAAAAAACAAAACAAAACAGTACTGTAAGCTTATTCTTTTCAATTTTCAATGCTATCTATTTACTTCCTGCTACACAGAAGAGGATTTAGCTCACACCCCTCTCTCACCACCCCTAATCATCCTAATATAGATATATCATTAATTTTAGTTCTATTGACCCCTTTACAATTTGAATATAATTCTATTTCAATCTCTCATTTCATCAACAACAGTTTCTCTTTGTAAAAACGGTATCTGCACTCATTATCCCCTTATTTTTTCTTACCTTTCACCTCCTAATCTGTCATTTGTACTTAAACATTTTTCAAGATGAAATTAAGTCTTCCATACTTTATTCAGATTATAAGTTTTAAAAAATTATTACCAGTGGCTACCCTATTATGACAATGTGAATGCTATTCAGAATGAGTAATAATTACATTTCCTGTCTTATATAGTTTCTTGGTTTTGTGTTTTTCGTGTCCCCACCCCACCCCCATGTTTCTAATTGTCTTCCTTTTCATCTGACACTGTTTGCCTTTATCATAACCCTGCTGGTACTGCAAAACTCTTATATAAAATCACTGTCTTTCTAACAGTTAAATTCACTGAGCATTACTATAGTATGGGAGACTAAAAGATACAAGATAGAAAGAAAATTAACACCAAGTTTAAATACAGCAAAACACTACAAATAATTTGCATGTAATAATTTGGGTACAAAAACAATGGATTGATTATGTAAATAAGCTATTATGAAATTCTTATATCTGAAAAATGTTTTAGGATGAATGAAAAAGTATAGTAATATATACAAAATGATTACAAGAATGTAAATATGTATATGATCCCCAAAACCAGACCAAACCAAAACTAATCACCCAGTGGTTTTTGAAAGGACCTGAATACCACCCTCCAACTCAACCCAATCTCCATCATTGTATTTATATCTTAAATTAAAAAGACAGAATAACAAGTGGAAAATGATTTAAATACCCAAACTCTCTTCCATTCTTAGTGTTAGTAAAGATAAAGACAAAACCATGCTTAATTATGGTACCATATCATACAGTGAATACATTAATAAAATCAAAGGTTTATAATTTCATGGCTTCTTAAATTGCTAGCCATCATTTCAGGGAATAATTAATTTTTTAGGTCACTGAACAACATGAGCCTAAACAAGGAAGAATGCCAGTTTGTTTTACATCACATCATTACTTTATAGGATTAAAATGAATATGGAGTTTATGAAAACTGATAAGCACACATCAATTTTCATAAACTCCATATCTATTTTAATTCTTCTAAATCATTGTATCATCTGGGGGTAATAGAGAATTAAGAGGAAAAAAGCAATAGTATAATTTCATTAAAGAGAAAAGCGCTGGTAAGACTAGCTCTGAAAAATGTTATATCTAATATAGCTAATGTGGTTTTAACCCTAAGGACAAACGCATCAATTTTAAATCAGTAATTATCATTAAATATATTATAAATACCTTTTGACTCCTTTCAGCAGCTTTTTCATCTGCAGAGATATGGGTACGGCACCTAGATAAAGATAGTATTTTCCAATGTCTTACAGAAATTCGGTAATCTGAGACCTATTTTCAAAGCTATATTATTTCAAAGCTAAACCATCCCAAATTGTCTAATTTATAACCAGCTTTTCTCCATGGTCCAGTATGTAGCAATATGATTTATTCAACAATATACTTTTTTCTCTAAGAAACTGTCCAAATAGTCACTAAAACTACAAATTACATTTTTCAATCATGAAATATTTCAGACATACAAAACTGTAAAAACAAACATATGATGAACATCCAGTTATCTACCACCTAGCTTGAAAAACCTCTAAAAAATACAGGAGGATCCTACCCAATCACATTTCCTTCCTTTTTTCTCATAGGTAAACACTCCCAAGCCGAGTTTACCATGCACATCTTTAGTTTTACTAGGAATGTATGATGTATCTCTAAACAGACAATATTATGTAGCACTTTAAAGATTTTGTATTACATATAGTATATCTTTCTTCAACTGATCTGGTTCACTCAACATTACACCTGAGACATATATATATAATATGTCTCAGATGTATACACACACACACACACACACACACACACACACACACACATATCTCTAGTTCAAGTATTTTTAGTGCCATATAGTATCCCAAAGTGTGAATTTTCCAAAATTTATTTTTTCAGAATGTTAGTAATTTAGGTTGCTTCCAAATTTTCACAATGCTACAAAGGGCAGTCCCATACATGACCCCTTGTACATATGTGTGCGTTTTTCTAGGGTATATACCTAGAAGTGGAATGGATGGGTGGAAGAGAAAGGCATGCACTTCTTCAACTTTTGTAATGTCAAACTTCTCTCCAAAGTGGTTATAACAATTTAGACTCCCCACCTATAGTATGTTCCCATGGCTTGGCAACTATTGGGTTGTCAGAAAAGTCATAACGCATTTTTGCAACGAAAAACAGAAAAAATATGTCATGACTTTTCCGATAACCCAATCAATAGACAGCAGTATCAAAAATCTTAATTTTGCCAATCTTACGGGTATGAATTGATAAAGTCATTGCATTTTAATTTGCATTTCCTAAATTACTTGTGAGGTTGAACAAATTTGCATTGCTTACTAGCCATCCAGGTTTCCTCTTCTGTGAAATGCCTCAGATATACAATACTTACTTTTCTAACTAAATCATGTTTTTTTTCTTTTTTTATTTTATTGGGTAACAGTGTGTTTTTTCCAGGACCCATCAACTCCAAGTCAAGTCGTTGTCCTTCAGTCTAGTTGTGAAGGGTGCAGCTCAGCTCCAAGTCCAGTCGCCATTTTCAATCTGGTTGCGGTGGGTTGCAGCCTACCATCCCATGCGGGAATGAAACCGGCAACCTCGTTGTTCAGAGCACGCACTCTAACCAACTCAGCCATGTGACCGCTCACCGGCAGCTCAGCAGAAGCTCAGCTCAAGTCGTTGTCTTCAATCTAGTTGCAGAGGGCACAGCTTGCTGGCCCATGTGGGAATCGAACAGGCAACCTTGTTCAGAGCATGCACTCTAACCAACTGAGCCATCCAGCTTCCCCCTAAATCATTTTTTTCTTACTGATATGTAACAATTACTTTATATCTCTGATACTAATCCTTTGTCAAACACATACTGCAAATATTTTCCTTATAGTCTGAGTTTGCCTTTTCACTGTTTTCGTGGTGTTCTGGTTGACAAAAAATTTTTAAATTCTTAACAATCTGCTCCTTTACAACAGTTTGTGCTCTTTGTATGTGGTTATTCTTGGCCCTCCATTATTTCAGACCATTAACACAGTAACTCTCCATTTAGTGAATTCTTCTTCAATGTCTTTCAATATTTTATAAAAGTCTTGCGCAACTTCTGTTAATAGTCCCAGTTTTTTCCTGTTAGTATTATAAACGGTAGTTTTTAGATTACATTTTTTGTTTGTTGCTATTGTTTAGGAATTCAATTTTAGTATGCTGAACTTGTATCGAGCCAACACTGCTGAACAAGTCTAATTAAGTTTTTAACAGATTTAAACTTTTTCAAGCTTAACCTCCAAATAGCTCTGGAGTGAAAAAAAATTCTAGGGCTACTTCCCCGGACCTCCTTAGACCTTTAAACTCAGAATCACTAGGGACAAAGAATTACTCTCTCAACTCACTGCTACTTTATATGGTGGTTAATGAGATAACTGAAAAAGCACAATGTCTGGCACAAAGTAAGAAATCCTATCTTCTTTCCCTTTTTTTTTCCTCACACCCCAATCCCTAATTAATACAAGGCTCATTCACTAAATCAGAAAATGGAATAAATTTTCCTGAGCAAATCATTATTTCCTCTGTATTTTCATCTCATCAGCTGAACATGTAGGAAAATTTTTCTAACTGTATCTCACCTGTTCAACCAGTAAAGTAACCAAATTTAGAATGTTATGCCTTATTCTTAAAAGAGAAAGGAACAAACCTTTGATGAGCAGTCCAATCATGTCAATTATGCTAGCTGCATATTAATATCTCATTTAAAACTTCAAATGAGAGCATTTTCCTCATTTCATTTATAAATAAGATTCAGAGAGATTAAAGATTTTGCCCAAGGCAGAAAAGCTACAAACTAGCAAAACTAATGTTTTAATACCGGGGCTGGCGGGTGGCGCAGTTGGTTAGAGCACAAGCCCTAAGCAAGAGGGTCGCCAGTTCGATTCCCTCATGGGCCAGTGAGCTGCACCCAAGCTGAGTTGCCAACGGGCAGCCTGGTGGCTCAGCTAGTGAGAGCACATGCTCTTAACACCAAGGTTGCCGGTTAGATTCCCACATGGGATGGTGGGCTGCACTCCCTCGACTAAATTTAAAAAAAAACCAGCAACTGGACTTGGAGCTGAGCTGCGCCCTCCACAACTAAGACTGAAGGACAACTTGACTTGGAGCTGATAGGTCCTGGAAAAACACAATGGTTCTTTCTCCAATTCCCCAACACTGTTCCCTTTCCCAATTCCCCAATAAAACCTTAAAAAAAAAATTTTTTTTTTTAATATTTTAATGCCAATGTGTCAGGCTCCAAAAGCATATGTTACTCACATTTACACACTGTCTCCTAGTAATAACTAAGGCAAGTTAATTACCTCTGAATTTCAGCTTCCCTCATTTATTAATCAGAAAAAAGCTAGAGAAATAAAGGCACCAAGTCAGTTACCCAGAGCTCCTAACAGAACAATTTTGTTTATGATCAAAAAACAACAACAATTCCAAGAGAATTTAGACTTACGGCTGTTTAAAAGTCTGTGTGTGGGCAGCTGTGACCTTCATGTGGGCCACATGAATCTCCTCGGAGAGCTCTTCCACAGTCTCGATGTCCACCTGCTCCTCATCGTCCTCAGTGAATTCTACACAGTTATTCTGAAACACAGCATTCCAACAGTAAAATAAAGTATTCGAAAGTAAGCGCACTTACACTTTTCAAATGAATGTGTTCCCTTATAAAACCAACCAGTGCCACGCACTGCTCTTATACCTTGAGTACTAATAATCCTAAACTTGTTAATTAATCATAAGGAATTAACTCATAAAGCAACATACGGCTGGAGTTAACAACCAAGAACTAGATTATAAATCATAGATATTAAACAGATATCATTAGACTGAACAAAGTCCCCAAAAGGCTGTATTGATGCTACAATGTTATTTCTAGTGGACAAAATTCAGGTACAGAATAGTAAATCTGCATAAATCTTAAGATTAAATAGCAGTAAATTAAAATTTGGCAAGAGGGAAAGTGAAAAGGAGAAAAATTCTGGTGGTTTCGTGGCTAACCTCGTATCAGACTCCTGCAAAAATATACTCAAGATATGGAAATAGAACACAGCCCAGTCTTCTAAGTCTCTCAATCCCACAACATGAGAGCTTTTGACGAATTTTAGATATCAAAAGCAGCCCAGGCTTGCTCTACTTGCTTATTACACCAAAAAAAATGTGTCAATCAGTAAGCATTTATTGAGCACCTGTCACAGAAACTCACTGTATATTTTATATAACAGAATATACCAATTGAGATATACAGGTATTTTTAAGTCCACCTTTAAAAGTAGTGTTTACTATGCCAGAAACTAAATAGGAAATATGTTATCTATAATTATAATTGTACTACAGTGGCACAACTCAAATGAAGCATCCCAATCACCTTAATAATTCTGCTTAAACTTGTTGGAAAAGTTACTTACCCCCAAATTATAGACTCCATAAGGTTGATAAGACACTAAATTCAAGCCATCATTTACGCTTCCCAATTTAAGCACAATTTAACTAATGTATATTAAATTTAAACAATGTAAACAATGTATATTAAAAGTAACTCTAGGAAGCTAAATCAAGAGTGACAACAGAATCTAAAGAGTCTGAATAGTAATGTAGGTAGATGCTTTAAAATAGTAAAACTGAAGAATGTTTGCCTACTGCATGGCTTTAACTTTGGGCTTGGTAATTATCTAATAAACTTTACAATGGGCGATTTATAAGCTACTTACAACTTTCCTTACACTGTTCCAATATAATGCTAATCCCAAACATAAAGGTATCATAGGTGTATACATGTACATAAATAAAATGTAGAATTTAGGTTTTAGGGATATTTTAATATAATGCCCTTACTTTAAAAGAGGTCAATGTACTTTGTTGTATGTCAAATTCCCTATTAGGAAATTCAAGCAATGCCACCCTGTATGATTATGACACTCCAAAGGTTCTAGTAAGTCAGTTCTACTGATAGCAATAGTTTTCACTGGTTTTAAAGTTGGACTGGTTTTGGTTTGATGCTTAACCAGGCTGACTTACAATGGGAGGCTGCAAAAAGCGGAAGAAGATCTGCACTCTAACTCCTAAACTCAATGAATTCAGATCCTTCAGCTACCTACAGGTTCTCTGTCCTCAAAAAGGATTAAGCTAGAGACAGAACACTGAGGCAAACACTGTAGAATCATCCAATTGCACAATCAGAACTTTGTTTTACAAATGAGACAACTGAGGTACAGAAATAATTAATACAGAAACATTAAAATATTTAAACATTTTACAGTTTTAAAATACTAATCTTTTTGTTATGTTTTATCTGCATAAGGCAGTTAGGCATTAACATAAAAGGACCAGGTAAAACAAAGGCTGAATGAATCTCAAGAGAGACTCTAAAACCAACTGCATGACATTAAGTGCAGAGGGCCACATTATCGGCTCCTGAAGAGAGAGACATCACTCAGATTTCGGGGCACCCCACAGGCAGCTAATTATAATCTCCTTATGATTTACAGCATATCCCATGCAGAAGTCAGCAAACCACACAGCCCATCACCTGTTTTTATAAATAAAGTTATACTGGAACACAGCTACTATGCTCATTCACTTACTATTGTTTATGGCTGCTTTCATGCTACAACAGCAATTGGGTAGTTGCAACAGCAAGCCATCTAGCCTGCAAAGTCTAAGATATTTACAATCTGGCCCTTTAGAGAAAAAGTTTTCCCAACTCATGCCTTATATCATACCTGACTCTCAGTTACTTAGTTCAGTAAATACAACCCTAAATAGGAAGTCTACAAAAATGGCATCAAACATAAATTGTAAAGGTCATATTACAAGGGTAGAGGACCAGAGTTCAGAATATAAATTCTAAAACCTAATTTTAGGAGATAACTAAAAAGCAACTCAGGGCACAGTTATATTAAAACATTAAATTGTTATATTCCATTTTTCTCCAAAAAGAACCTCTCTCTAAATGCAGGTAGATAAGTTCTCCCCCAGTTCTAAGGTCACCCATTCCGTTTCTTATGTATCCACCAGATAACCTATAACCCCTTTATATAGAAAACATCAAAAAAAAAAACTAATGGGGATCAAATGTAGTAGTAGTTTCAGGATTTCTTTCTTTTTTTTTAATCTACTGTGATAGAGACTCTCGAGCATCTATCCCCCAAAGACTTAAGCCAGCCTTTCCATAATATCAGACAAATCTCAAAGAACAGTATAAGCTCAATAAATGTTACTTGACTGACACAGCCTAAAAACTTTAGTCATTTAATTGTGATCTAAATCTAGGCATTCAACTGAATGTATCAAGGTCTAAGTGATCTTCTGGAAAAGATACTGTCTCTAATAAATCATTTAAATCCTTGAGGTTTCAGTCACAACAAAAATGAGCTCACCACCTTTTCTACATCATCAACCTCCTCACTCTGGTAGTCAGAAACAACATCCACAATCTCATCAACAGAATCATCAGTTTTCTCATTCTCATCTTCCTCATCATCTTCTTCCAAATCCAAAACACTGAAGTCAGCACTGCTTCTCCCACTCTTCTTTTCCTGCTTCAGTTTTATCTGTTCTGATAGCAGGAAGTGACCTTGAAAATGTCCCTCCTCTCTGCTCCTTTTTGTAGTTCTCCTAGGAACAATGGAGAAAGCTCCGGGACTAGAAATCCTACTCCAAGAATCACATTCAGTTTTTAAAACTCTGGTATTCTCAGTAGTTCTGTTTTTTCCAAGTAAATCAGAGATGTCTTGTTCTTGTTGAAACACACTGGAATTTTCCTGACAAGTCTTAGTCTCCTTAATTAACTGCTCAACTGCCTCTTTCTTGCATTCCTGTGAAGTTCCAACACATTTCCGGGTCATTGGGCCCTTCAGGTGTTTTCTCCATCTCTCCCTAATACTGTCCTTCAGAGCGTCTCCACATACTTTCTCCTTTGCCTCTGGCTGTGGATTAGATTGATGCTCCACAACTATGCTCCCTGAAAATTCAAGTTTACATTCTTCCTTAGAGATGACTGGAAATTCATTTGATTTTTCCTCTGGCCTGTCCAATCCTTTCTGCAGTTCCACTTTCACATTACCAAGTTTTTTAAGGTGCACACTGCTTAAACTTTGAACTGTCACATTACTGGCTTTTTCAGAAATGGTCTTAATTTCTAGAACAGTCAGTTTTTCTTTGGAACTGTCATGATTCCTAATCCCACCTTCATCAACATCTTTATAGTCATCACTTGTGTGTGACCCAGTGATACAGGATTGCTTAGAAGGTTTAGCAGTTGCAGTATCTTCTTCTGTAAGGGATTCTTCATCTAAATGATCACCCCCATCTTCCAAGGAATTATTCAGGGTTTCTTCTGAGGCAACAGCTCCTGAGTTTTGCTTTGTTACATTAGCCTCAGAGTCTACAGCTTCCCCTTCCGACTGTAGGGCCTTCTTATTTTCCTGTTCTCTCTTTAAAAAGCTCGTTTCATCTTTGTTGTCTGCATTCTGGGATTCTCTCTTCATCTGAAGAGAAGCAACATGTTGAAGAATGGAGCTGGGAACAGGCTTTTGTCCTGGGAGCTGCAACAAGGCAAAACTACCAGACTGGAGAGGAATGAGGCTGGCTGTACCCACAGGCTGCCCTCCTGAGCTATAGGTTATTTTGGTTTCAGAGCCTGTTTTACTTGCAAAGCTTTGTGGTTCAGGAGGGGAAATCCTCAGGGTCAGTGTACCAGACTGAGACACAAAACTAGGACCAGAAGAAAGCAATGACGGTGCCTGAGTGAAAACATTCACTGCTTGAGAAGACCCAACAGCCTGAATTACAGGACTCATAACAGAGAAAGCAGAGGATGAAGCAGAAGATGGTGGAGTCTCTGAAGGTTTAGAAGGAGTGGGTAACCGGATTCCCATCACAGACCCTGGTAAGAAAAAGAAAACTTTAATTAACCACTGCCCGTATCAAGACTCCCAAGGTATGCTTTTCTTTTTGAACAGGTGACTCTAAGAGACCAAGACGACCAATGCTGGTGTATTTATATACCATATGGCCAAATGATTCAATAAAACAAAGATCTCCAGCTTTATACCTGGGTTCCGAAACATGACAGGCTGTAAGTTGGGCTGGGTATTAGAGCCTCGAAGCTGATGCAAAGGGAGAAGCTGCACAATCTGCCCATTAGGGTGCCTAAACAGGTTCATTCCACTTGGGCTCCTAATAGGCTGCAAGACCATCCGATGTCCTGGAAGTTGTGTGTTTGAGACAGGTCTAAGAGTAGGAGAACCCTGCTGCACTGGAATCAACAACAATCGAGGTCCACTACGTTTCACTGGGTTAGGAGAGACCTGTGGAGTAGCCACTGGAATCTGAGGGGCATTTTCTGAAAAACAGGAAATGGAAACATAGTATCAAAATTTCCCTTTCACACACTTAGGAAAAAATTATTGTGACATAGGGATCTGACCATACTACAAATAACTTCTAATTCGAATTATAAAGTTGGTGAAATCCTGTACCTCTATGATACACTACTTAATAGTCCTATAGCTAAGAACAATTTATCTTAAACCTAAGTATTAACCAAACTTTGCAGGGCCTTACATTTAGACTGGTGAAAAAAAGAAAGCACAATTGTCAGGAGGTACATTTAAAGAGACAATGCTTCTGCCTAATGAAAAACAGGGGCAGGCCTCTAAATCTGGATTCTCATTAAAGCTAGAGATCATTCATGATAAAACTACCTTCTCCAACTTTAAAATTCAGGTTGCTAACACATAACTAGACTTATGATTTAGTTTCACAGGTCATATTCAAATTATCAAGATAAAGTCAAGGACTAAAAATTATGAGGTATAAAAAACATCTTGGCAGGGCTGGCCGAAAGGCTCATTTGGCTAAGAGCTCACTCAAGAGTGTGAGCTCTGAGCAACAGGGTAGCCAGTTTGATTCCTGGCCCAAGCTGAGCTGCCGCTGAGCTGCCAACAGGTGGCAGGATGGCTCAGCTAAAAAAAAAAAAAAAAAAAGTCTTGGCTTTTAAAATTCATTGACAAGCAAAGAGTAAAGATTTGTGAAAATTATTTTTCGTAAGGAAAAAAAATACATACCCCCCTAAAAATGGAATTAAATTAAGAGACATTAAAGTAGCAGGGAAATAAAGCCTGGTCAGGAAGAGGTGAAAGATAGTTTTAAAACAAACAGAAAAAGTAAAGATTAAACGAAGATATGAATTAAAAGAGATTTCAACCCATTGATAGTACCTAAAGATGCACTTTATTGTTTGGAAGAGATATTTAGAAATATTAAATATCTAAAAAAAAAGACATGGGAAAAAATAATATGAGTAATCTACAGATAGATTTCTGGCCATGGGGATAAAGAGATAGGAACAACGATAATAAGAAGCACAAATGAAACTGATCTAACATAACCATTCAAGTTTAGTAAATTTATTTAACATCATTAATAAATCTTTTCACTAGTTTATCACTAAATAGAAAAATCAACAAGCCAAACAAAACAAAGATATTAGCTTAACATGTGATATTCAATCAGACAGACACTCTGCCCACGAAACATACCAAATTTCTAAAAGAAAGTCATACTCGTAGTATTTACATGGCAAATTATATATAGAAACTCCAGGACTACTCTTGACAATGAAATAAAACACAAAGACCAAACTGTTCCTGAAAAAAACAGTGTGCAATTTAAACAAAAAACATTCATCTATTTTATTATGTGAATTAAGAACGTGTTAAAGCATTGATTTCTTGAACATTTCTATTTAAGTTTTAGAGAGTGATTCAAAATTAAATTGCTCCAATTCAGAGAATGAAAGCAGCCTTTAATACACATGCTAAATATTGCGTTGTTTATTGAAATGTGGGAGGGGTGAGAGGAAAAAAAAGGAAGTCAAATGAAAAAGTCACAGATATCTAAGTGCCTGAGTTGGGACCCTCTTTATGAACCTAGAACAAAATTACACACACTTCCTTAGAAGTAGCAGTTATCTGAGTCAGCTCCATTTGTAAAAGAGCAGGTAAGAATATCTGTTAACATTAGCATTTCCTCAAGTGGTATTACAGAAGATACTAGGTTTAAGGTAGTATATGGATATAGAATAAATGATATCACATTGTCAGAAAGTAATTCCCTTTTCAATTTTAATCTTTTGATTATATACAGAAGTACCAGTCTTTGATATTATGTCTTTAATATTATGCCAGCATTTTCTAGCTTTCTTCATTAACAGAGAGCAAGCCATATGCTAAGACTACTATATTATAGTAGCTAGCCAGAATTTATTATTTTTATTGTTTACAGTATATTTATTTATGGAATTAACCTCTATTTCTTCAAGTAACTTTTTTTCCAATTACAGTAAGATCGCTCCTTTAAAAAATACACTTTAGTAAACAAATGAGCAGATTAAATAAAAACATTAAGTCAATATAGTACAAATGGGAACAAAAGCAAAACACATGAATGTATACTCTGAGTGACTGAAATCTGAGAAACAATACACTAAAAAAAGCTAAATGACCTTATAGTTTCATGACAGAATTCAAAATATAAAGGTTGGAATCCATATGGTTTAGAAAACATGATCAGTGAAAATATGACAAGATATGAACCTTGAGATTCAACAGGAAGTCAAAGCAGTTTCATCAACAATGACCTCACTTCCAAATGATATATATGTTAAACTAACCTTTTTTATATATTTAGGGGGAAAAGCAGAAGACAGCGCATTTAATACTGTGATTCACTTTTCCTTTCAACAGAACTTCAACTTATGAACTAACTCCCAAAATCACTTCTTTCCTAAAATATCAACAGGGATTTGGACCACATCACTAAAGGCAAAAATATTTAATAAAAATATCAATAACCAAGACAGAATTGCTGTCGGCTATTTAGTTCCCCTTAAATCCTGCAAAGTCTCACTCTTTTCTACAGTACACTTAGGGTACTCTTTGAGTACACTAAGAAAACTATTTACTTTAGCTGGTTGAATAAGGATATAAAAATTATAAAAGTGTAAGATATTCCTATTTCAAATTCACTTAACCTAAGCTAATGAGAAAATTTTTAACTAAAAAGTTGATAAACATGTAATACATTAGAGTCCTAAGCAAAGAAATATGCCTCCTTATTTCTATTTCAATCAGTTTGTACATAATAATTAAGTAGAATAATGTCAGTAGTATATGGGAGTTGGGCGGATTCACAAATGATTTTTTTCTAGGCACGGGGACCTAGAATTTTAATCTTCAGCCAGGAGAAAAAGCCCTCAGCTTGGCTGCTGCATAGGCAGAAGTCCTGTCATCTCTCTCTCTCTTTTAATTAAAAAGAAGCACCAGCCCACTCCACCCTCAAAAAAGGGAATCCCTACATTTGGGTTCCCTCCTCAGAGGTGCACCCCTAGCTTTCAGCACACAGTAGGTTGCACTTCCTCCTGTGCCCACCTTAATGGCTGCTTTACTGGCTCAGAGTTCCACTCCCATGTGCATTATTTCAGTATCCAGCAGGCAGTATTTCCATTCCAATGTTTTTGAGTATTTTTAATGTCCTGAGGAAATCTCCAGCCCCACTAAACCATCTGTCAAAGGCTGTTCAATTTATCTCCAAGGTACCAGCTATGGTTTTATTAGTGCCTTGTTTACAAGGTTGCATAGATTTTCAGTGATTTGTCCTAACCCTGTATTAAACATGAGCTCTACTATTTTTAGTTCAGTTTTGCAGAATGCAAAGGCTTTCAGGAATACGTGTATCATGTCATAGCAGAAACACCTACACTGTTACCCTGATATATCTACACGTATAATCCTATCACAACCACAAGGTTATATAAATAGCTGTATAGTAAACCAGCTCGTAACATCTAGGCCTTACCTGGTCTCTGGCTCACTGGTGGACTCCCATCAATTCCTGAGAGTATAATGGGAACAGAGCCAAGAGATGAAGTTGGTGTGGTCACCATGGAGGAAGATGCAGCTGTGGTCACCACGACTACGGAGGTGGAGGCAGTGGAAGCAACAGGAAGAGTTATGGTTGGAGGAGATGCTACCAAAGACTTAGGAAAAGCAACTGAAGCCACAGGGGTAGTTATCCCAGTCGTTTTGATAAGATTCACAGTGGCTGTAGACTGGGTAGGTGTTACAGGGGTGCTGGTATTAGTTTCAGAGACCTCAACAACCCCTGAAGTGGTGGCACCAGAAGGATAAGTAGTTTCTTTAGTTCCCACGTCAGAAATAGCAGTCATAGGTGTCACAGCAGTAACATTCTCTAAAAACACTTGAGGGGTGGTAGTAGTGACAGCAGCAGTTACAGGGCTGCACACCTGAACTGCCTCAGAAGAAACCACAGGTGTGACGACCATTACTGGAGAAGGTCTGATACTGAACTTCTGTGGCCCTGTTAGGGGTTGGGGTGTGCTAACTCCAGGTATCTTCTGCTGCAGGGCTCCAACTTTACTCATCACAAACTGTGTGAACACACCACCAGGAGAGGGTCGAGCCGCTGCAAATAAAAATTTGCAGGTCAAAAATCTACAGTTCTCATATTTTATCCTCTTAGTGATTGTGTTTATCAACATTTATTGTGTGCACCACTGGGTCAATTTCTTACAGGTACTACCTACCTGCATTATAAGTGCCAATTTCCATCCACAGAAATCAAACCCTGCCCTCAACCCAAACCAAACCCCTTTATAATTCTAACAAGAAAGGGATTAAAATTGGGTGCTCCTACTAAAAATCTTTGTCTTTACAATATAGCCAAATTGCTAGTTACACTAAAAAGACAACATAGCAGCACACTAAAGCAGATAAGAAAAGAGGAGATTTTTTTCCCCCTAACTCTAATTTTAAAACTTGTTTCCGCCACTTCCTTTCTGCCCCAGCACCTCCATCTCTTTATTGCTGTCCTCTTATGAGACAGTTAAGTTACTTATTTCTAAAATGTATGAAGACATTTTCAGGAGAGGGTTGAATAAGACTGCTTATTTTTGGGGGGATGGATTTTGGACAGGAGTCCACAATCCTATCCTCACAGAATGCTGGCATTTTTTAATAAACCTGCTTTTCTTTCCACACACAAAAAAGATTTTATTTTATAAATCACCAGATAAAGCTACTTTTTAAAAAGAGGTAAAATGGGTTATTTTTAACGCATACAATGCCTATCCTCCATCTTCACACAACTCCAGCATTCAGCCAGAGACGTCAATTTCCTATTAGAGGAAAAAATATAGTAATTGACACTTTTACTTAACATTCCTAAATAGATGTGAAATAACACAAAGAGGAATTCACTAAACCAACTGTATACACTCAATGCTAACACACAAATGCTTTCAAGAAGGTAATTTATTATAGACTCTAGTATTGAAATGTTAAGTAAAAGAAGTTTTCATTCACAGAACGGGTGAATAGAATAAAGCAATGTTTTAAAATTACGTTTTACAAGAACCTTCTATACTTTAAGCCTATGCTAATTCAACCCACTTTGCTTTTGCTAGCTTCTTGGTTTGATAAATTCAAGGAACATACATATGATTGGTACCAAAAATGCCCATCCTGTTAGGAGAAATACTAAATTAGGGAAAGAATTTAAGAATATGTCTTTTCTTTTTAAAAACACAATTAAAAAACCTAAGTCTTTTTCTACATTAATAAAAGTCTAAAACTCTGGGAAATAACTGTAAAACTAACTAGAGGTCAATTCATCTAGTATTGTAGGTCATCAGAAGAGTTACCAAAAAATAAAAAATATTTTTAAAAATATCAAGCCAGGTAGACATCGAGAATAAGAATTAACGCCAAATTCTTTATTTCTCCAATTTTTACAACTTCCATACTGTATCCACTGGCCCAACACCAAGTCACAGGCCTTTTCAAAACATATACATAGTCCAACTTACCAATTGGTCTTTTTGCCGGAACAAATGCCTTCAGATTCTTCCCAGGGTGATTTGTTGTAGTGCCGGAGGAGGATGCCATTTTGGAATTGGATGTTGAAGGCAACAGGGTACGTGGTTTCCTGGATGCAGCCACCTTGGCATTGGATGCTACCTTGGAGATGACAGTACTGAGGGTTGAGAGGTCCAGGACTGAGGGTCGCAACCTGCCTGTGATATAAGCAGCTAGCCTATTGGCTGGATGCAATGCCCCCATCTGTCCCAATAGCAACTTAGCCTGCGGGTAACTCTTACCATTAACCTGAAACAAGTGGCAAAGAGAAATTCTGTAAAGATAAAATTCTCTTGCTAACTCATCTCCCTTGACAGGGGTTTCATTTTTACAAGGTTTTAAAAGTCTATTTTTCAGATTTAAAGGGAAAAAGAAATGGACTTTTCCCAATTGGCATAATAAGGAGGTATCTAGGAGGTGGCAAAAAAATTGCTGTCATCTGATATTCTGAACTAATCTCATCCTTCATTTTAATAATTTTAGAAACAGAACCATATCTGCATCCTAGATATGTAAAAGATAGAGTTAAATCTAAGGAATCATCCAACTGTATTACTTGTCAATAAGCAATTCTGGTTACATTATTAACAATCATCAGCAAAAAATGAGTAACTGTTCCACAGAATCTCTCTGACAAGACCAGAGAGGCATAATGAAGCCCTCTCACAAGAGTGCTTTCAAGCATACTTCACATTTGGGAAATACATGGTGAATCTCTTTTAAGTTATGAGAAAGCCATTGTTACAATAACCTAAGTCACAAAATCACCTCAGTTTTTGGTTTTCTAAAAACTTAACTTTGAAGATAACTGTCTTCATCTCTTGAATAAAACTTGGGCTCAAGATAAGTGCTAGTAGAAACTCACTATAATTTTATAAATACTAAATAGTCAGAAGAAAGTAAATCAATGAATGAAGTAAAGATTTTTCTCTACTGCCTGAGTTGATAAGACTGCCCATCTTGGGCAGCAAGCAGGACAGTTTATTTATTTGTTTCATTTTTTAAAGAAAGAAAACAAAACAAAAACCTCCCAAGTTTCTTACCCATGTTCTCTAAGTCATATTGCTGGATAACTAGAGCAGACATTCTTTTCTGTCCCTCCTTTACATCATTTAAAGAAGGAAGGGAGTAGACTGAAGGTGGAGAAACTCCTTCTCTTTAATAGGGAACTGGTAAGAACAGCTATACAGCAAGCCACTCTCTCTTCATAGACACAAAACATAATTACTCTTTGTTACTTAAATAGAACTGTGATTATTCCCAGAGAGATCAAGAATATCTTTGCCTCGGTTTGGTACAAACAATGATCTTTCCATCCTAAAGTAAACTTTACTATACAGTTTTTCAGACTCTGTGGAGTCCAGATCAGGTATCTCTATCTGCTCCTTTGGGACTTGGACTGAAGACTACTCAGCAGCTACCCCAAAGCCTATGGTGGGCCTGACTGCTTATACAAGTTCACATATTATGGTGGCTTTCTGAGTCCTAGACAGAAGAACAAAATTCTATGCCTGTATTTCAGGGAGTCTAGTCTCTTTAGAAATGATTTCAGGTAAGCCTCTGTTCTCAAAGTATCAATCAATAAATGAAATAAGGATAAAACACTGTTCTCCTCTCATCATTAAAGGGTTTAAGAAATGCCAACAGAAGCAGTTATATAGGACCACCAAGAATAAACTGCAACAAAAAGTTTTTAATTAAGGAGATCAGCCATATTATTAGGACAGTCCTTAGACCAAGGAAGTGGTCAAGCTAATAAAGTCAAATAACCGTAGCAATGTTAGACACTTGCACATATTTGCTACTCTGACATAAAAGTGCATTTAATATCACTGAGCAAGAGGAGAAAACCTTTTTGACTATGATTACATTTTAATTCATAAGTTCTCTTTCAAAGGATTTTCTACATGCCAGGGTAATTTTACTAATATAACCTGCCTGAATTACTAAACAATAAGGACAGAGATCTTTGTCCTACAACAATGATTATACTGGCAAAATCCCTATGAATCATATAAAAAAATATATAAGTAAATTGTGGCTCATTTTTTAAAAAATTTTTACATATTTAAATAATACCCTACAAATTAAATTTTTCTCCAAGTTTCCAAACATATACTGCCTATTTTAAAATCAATTTCACCCTGCTTTGTTTTGAAAGGTATCTGCTAATAATAATCCCAAGAACTAAACTGAATCTCTTACTATCCTTGCTTGGTTGCCAAAGTATCACTAGTGCCCAGACAATAAAGTTTAAGAGGAGCAACTTTCTGGGAACACTAGAAAGAAAATTATAAGAACACAGGGCTCTACATTTTCTGTAAGTGTGCCAAAATTCACTCCAGGTATGCATCTAACCTAGGCCTATTATAAAAAGAGATGATTTTGTCACCCAGTTAGTTCCCAGAAAATGTGAAGATAAATGACATAAGGCCCATAAAGGGCTCTGAAAAACCAAGATGTTAACCTAAATGCAAAAAGGTGCTACATCCAGATTAAAGATAATTCTCACCTGGATAAGCCCAGATGTGCTTGAACTGGGTTTACGTTTATAGGCCACAAGCTTCCCTGCAGGAGAAAGCCCTGCATAAAAGGGCAGACCTTTGCCTCCATGTAATCTCTCCCTTACTGAATCCAGGGCATCTGTCTGCACAGGAGAGATATCATCCATTTTCCCAGGGGATAATGGACCATCAGGAGTCTCTGATCCAGATTTCTCAGCCATATCATCTTGATCTTGACATGATGGCATAGAGATTTTCACACGAGAAGAATAAACAGGGGGGTTCTTCTCACCCCGGCTCTTTCGCTGAGAAGCCAACTCAATGATGAAGCTGCCCACCTTAAGTGATTGTGGCATGTTGCTATTGATGTGCTGGGATAAGATGCTCAAAATCTTGTTCCGATCCTCCTCCCAGTTGCAGTCTGAGATGATTTCTATCAGTTTGGTGGGACCACCAGGTGACCTCTGATGCACATAGGAGGTAGAAGAGGATTCCCCTTCATTGCAGGAAGACTTCCAGCTCTTTTCTGATAAAGAATTCAAAGATATTCCTCATCACAGCATTTTGTACTAAACTATGAAAGACTTTTACTTTCCCTGAGTTCTCAGAAAAGTGCCAGGGGTATAGAAATTCAACAGTTGCCTAGTGTCTCATTCCCATGCCTTTTCAGTAGTAATTTAACATTCATAATCTGGTAGTTTTCCAGGAAAAAGAAAGATTCTAGAGAATCAGACTACAATAGTCTTCATTATCCTGCTGACTAGGCTCTTGAATAAAAAGGGAACCCCAGTTCAGAATGCTCTAAAAAGCCATAACTATTACATGAGAAAGTGTTATCTTACAAACAAAGCATGACCTATAATCAAGGTTAAGCTTATTTGGTAGTTTAGTGTTCTGCTATTCATACACGCAAAGCAAAGATACTTGCAAGATGTTTTATAACATGTATTGGGTTGTCCGAAAAGTCATGACATATTTTTTTCTGTTTTTCGTTGCAAAAATGCATCATGACTTTTCCGACACCCCAATAGTAAGTAGAGACAATCCTAAAGAACAGCTAGAGAGAGAGTGTTCTTAGGTTTTGTTTTTGTTTTATTGGGGAATAGTGTGTTTTTTCCAGGACCCATCAACTCCAAGTCAAGTAGTTGTTTCAATCTAGTTGTAGAGGGCATAGCTCAGTGGCCCATGCAGGGATCGAACCCGCAACCTTGGTGTTATGAGCACTGCGCTCTAACCAACTGAGCTAACCAGTCACCTCTTAGTTTGTTTTTTTTAAGTGCACTCTACCTCTAGTTTCTACTGCAAATACTTCTAAGTTACTTTTGTGCCTTTAGATATCATTGCTCCACTTCTACATTATGTGCAGATTACTCAACTCACCACATTTTATGTTCATAGCAACATGTTACCTAGCTGTATATTTTACTAGGCACTTAGTTTGCTACAGCAGAGCCTCCCAACAAAAGTGCTAGTTACAGATATGTCAGGATATAGACCCCCTCAGCCTTCAGAAAGATCATGCTCTCAGGCAGGATCCCTCCACTCCAGCAGCCTCCTTCCCTTACCTCAGTGTGCTTATAGAAACATTTTCACTTTTTGTGTATACCATGCCATAAAAGAAAAGAAAAAAAAAGCTGGGAAGCACTGCTGCTTAAGTGTCTAAAGTCTTAGGAAGCAAAACCAAAAACAAACAGGTAACTCCCTAGACACTACTTCTCATCAAAGATCTGGCAGTAAGTAGCCTGTTAGATAAATCAGCAATATTCCTTCCTTTCTCCCTCTGAACTTCTCTAATAATAATAGCTATTGAGAACCTGAGGGAAAATTTCAATAGTTAATGATGCCAATATGTTACTGAAGTTTGAAAAGAGGTTTGAAAAAAAAAAAAATCACTGACCTCATCACAAATGTCTTGCAACAACATACCATATCAATGAATAAATTTTATTTCTTAGAATAGGAGTGACAGACCAAATAATAGGGGAAATTTTTATCTACATTTTAGCAGAAGCTAACAGGGTAGGTTGACATATTCTGGACTGGTAGTTTTGGTTTCCCCCCGTTTTTATTATAATCCACACCCATATATTTACTATCAAATGATAAGATCTCATTTTCATGCTGACCTTGTGATTTATCAGAATCATCCTCCAGGTCACAGGTAATTGGTTTCAAGGGCTGCTGTTCAGAATTGGGCTCCTGAAGAAGGGAATAACACAGAAATACTTCAATTCAATGCATATTTAGTATCAACAGAGACTAGGACATAAGCATTAAATCTCTCAAAGAGGCCCAAAAACAGTAGAAAGGTTAAAAGAGCAACAGCTTCACATCTACATGCACAGCTGCATTACTATCATATTATACAGCCCTTGGCAAAAATAAGTAGTCTTGCTCTGTAATGTACTTGATAGTGACCGAGTCACCAAGAATTTACATTGTACTTTATAGTGTATTCTAGTAAAGAAGGAAAAATATTTGATGTTTAATAAATATTAAACTTCAGCTGAAATAAACTTCAGTTATTTAGAAAATCCACCTACATACAAAGATGTAAATCCTAATAATTACAATTAAATGATTTCATTAAAACCAGAACGCTTTAAACCTTTAAAAATTACTCTAGCATTAGAAAGAACAATCCGTTTAATAAAACCTTAAGGGACAGGTCTCTAGAACTGGTATGCAGAGGCGTAGGGGACTGGACATTGAGGCAGGGTGACCCGAGAGCACTGTCCCGGTGAGTGGCTGCCAAGCGATCCCAATTCCGATGCCCCTATAACACTGAAGTCCTCTTATCCCTGATGCCCACCCTTAACCCTGACGCTTCCCTAACTCCTACACCCCCTAATCCTGCCACCCCCACAACCCGATGGCCCTCCGACCTCTACACCCCCATAATACCCATTCCCTAACCCAGATACCCCTTAAACTGCCACTCTCCTAACAAACAAAAAATTGGTACACAGTCAAACAGATAAATTGATATACACATCAAGTAAGCCTTCTCTGCCCCACAAGAATTACTCTGAACTATTCTAATAATGCAAATTCTAATACCAGCAACAGGGAACTGCAAATTAAAAAGAGAAATTATGCAATAAGTTATTCACCTTTGTACTACAGTTCTCAGGACTAGAATGACATGAGCCCTGCTGCTGAAATGATGGGGATGGGGATGGTGATGGCTGTCTCTGTTCTTTTTTTCGTTCATACACTCGAACTCGGGCACAAGTCATCATACTTTCAAAGTACAAGTAGACTGGATCCTTGTCCTCTTCCCGAATCTGTAAGTTTCACACAACAAAACATTCCATACATTGGGGGGAAAAGTCTTCTGTACTCCAAAAGGAAAAGGATGTTTAAGTTTTCTTTCTATTACATCACTTGAAATTTTTAATTCCAAACTTAAGAGTTAAATAGTACAAATACAGTTCATATGTCCTGAATCTTGGGGAAGTCAGAAAGGATCAGGTTCTCTATCAAGAAATTTCAGATCCCACCAGAGCAGTGCTTCTCAAATGATCTGTGGTAAAGGATACATTTCTTAATTACTAGTCTAACACAGACTAATACTTTTGTAAAATACAAAAGCAATTATTAGAAGAATACAAAATAAATTACTAGAAAAACAAAAGACATGTAAAATACAAGCCCAAGTTTTTCAGTATTAGATTTAACAGATATAAAATTACTATTAACTTACTGTAAAAGTTTCTAAATATTTACTCTTATTTTCTATATGTACTTATTTCAAAACAGAATGGTAAAAGTTTTGGATACAGCACTGGTACAGAGATGACACTGAATAGCATTGTGAATCTTCAATTTAATTGACTGGGAAGGTTGAAATGGATTTAATAATCAGAAATGCTTATCAGCTCTTTTACCTATCAGTCTTCACATAGTCATATCAATTGTTATTTTAAAGCTTGAACTTTACTGTTATTATTATACAGAGGGTGCCAAAAAATGTATACACATTTTAAGAAAGGAAAACTGTTATTAAAATCATAATACTTAATATATACTGATAACAAAAGATGAATACAAGTCACGTTTGACTTCTGCAATTACAAGAGGTGCTCAAAGTGGTTACCATCCGTGTCCAGACACTTTTGATTACAGCAAACTACTGATTGAGCAACGCGGACCAAAGTGTCCACTTGTATACATTTTTTTGGCACTCCCAGTACATAAAGAAATTTGCTTTAAGAAGATGACAATTATTTTTAAAGCCTTGTCTTAATGATTTTCTAATATGTACTACATCTCAATTATTCAATATACTACAATACAAGAATAAGAGTATCTAACAGAGTTTTGCAAGTCATGTTTTGTTTTTTAAATGCCCATCTTTATATGATCTTCCTGAAAAGAAGTTTGGCTATATTTGAGAATTACTGGGCTGACCGAGTGGCTCAGTTGGTTAAGAGTTGGCTTAAGAGCGCGAGCTCTGAGCAACAGGGCCATCGGTTTGATTCCCACATGGGCCAGTGACGCCCAAGCTGAGCTGTCACTGAACTGCCAAAAGGTGGCAGGATGGCTCAGCTGATGTGACAACAAGATTGCCTGTTCGATGGTAGGCTACGCCCACCCACAACTAAGACTGAACTTGGCACCTTGAGCTGAGCTGCTGCCCGGATGGTTCAGTGGATACAGCGTGCACTCTTAACAACCAAGCTGCTGGTTTGACTCCTGCATGGAATGGTGGCTACGCCCACCTGCAACTAAGATTGAACACAGCACCTTGAGCTTAGAGACCACGAGCTGCCGACGGGAAGCCAGATGGCGACTGGCACCCTCCACAACGAAGACTGAAGAACAACAACTTGGCTGGTCCCCTTCCCCAATTCCCCAACACTGTTCCCCTCCCTCAATTCCCCAGTAAAATCTTAAAAAAAAAAAGAATTACTACTATTTGCCTCTATTTTTATGATATTTTTTAAGTGTCAGCAATAAAACTGATTAAATCACAAAGGAGATGGCTTACGGGCATTCTACCTGAAAGCAAAATGATTCACAGAATGTAAACCAAAAATCTGGATGAAAACCATCATCTTTACAAATGATTTTTGGAACTTGCAATAAAAGATGAAACTACAGACTTACCACAGGATTGGGTTTGGGAGTATATGCCCGTGTAGGTTTAATTCCAGTGAACAGTTTGCCCTTCACAGTAGATGAAACTTCTGGTTGAGGCAACAACAATGGTTTTGTAGGCTCAATGATAGAAGGCGTTGGGATATAAACTGGCTCTGGATCTACTTCACCTTCTACTTTCACCCATAATGGGTAATGCCGAACAGGCTGTTCAGGCTCTGTTTCACATATAGCTTAACAAAAAGAAGGGTAAGTAAGATTTTAGCTTCGTTTGGCAACAAAAGTTCACCGAGGCATTGTCAATACAAAATATGCTCCCTCATAAAAAAACAGTAGCTCATTGAAACAATCAGATAACCCCCCAAAAAAACCTGTAGTTGCCCTCATGCATCTTAATTTATTCGTCTATTAACCAAATATTTGTTGAATAACTATTATAAATTAGATACTGTTTTAGGCACTAGAGTGAATACAGCCATGAATACAACAAAATTCTTGCCCTCACAGAGTTTATAATCCAGTAGTAGAAAACAAACTAATAAACATATAATATCAAATACTAAGTGTCTCATAGAAAAATACAGCAGAGTAAGGAATACGAAGTTAACTGGAGATGCTATTAAGTTTAGCACAATCAGGAAAGGTTTTCTCTATTAGCCTTGAGAGATAACCATTCTATGATCCAATTATGTCCTGTCTGTAAGAGACTCACTTGAGATCCAAGGACATAAACAGGTTGAAAGCGAAAGGATGGAAAAAGATATTCCACGTAAATAATAATCAAAAAAGAGTAGGGATGGCTTTACTAATATCAGACAAAATAAACATTAAATCAAAAAGGCTGCAAGAGACAAAAAAGGGCATTATATATTAATAGAAGTTTCAATATATCCAGTAGTAATAATAATTACAAACATTTACACACCTAATGATAGACCACCAAAATATATGAAGCAAAAACTGATAGAACTGAAGTAGAAATACACAATTCTACAACAGTAGAAGACATCAATACCCCACTCACAATAATGGATAGAAGAACCAGACAGAAGGTAAGTAAGAAAATAGAGGACCTAAGCAACACAATAAATCAACTAGAGATAACAGGCATATACAGAACACTGTACCCAAAGAACACATTCTTCTCAAGTTCACATGGGACATTTTCCAGGACACCACAAATCAAGTCTCAATAGATTTAAAAACATGGATATATAAATTATTTTCTCTGACTAGAAATCAACAAAAGGAAAACTGGAAAATTCATAAAACTGTGGAGATTAAACTTTAGAAAAATCAGTGGATCAAAGAAGAAATCACAAGGGAAATTAGAAGATACCTAGAAACAAATGAAAATGAAAACAACATACTAAAACCTATGGATATAGCAAAAGCACTATTATAACTATAAGTGCTTACATTAAAAAACATGAAAGCTCTCAAACCAATGAAAGCTCTCAAACCAACAATCTAACTGGACAATTCAAGGAAATAGAAAAAAACTTAAACTAAACCCAAAGCTAGAAAGAAAAAAAAAAATACAGAGATAGGGCTGGCCTAAGTGGCGTATTGGTTAAGAGCTGGCTTGGGAGCGACAGCTCTGGGCAGCAGGGCCCTGGTTCAGATCTCACATGCGCCCTCTACAGCTAAGATGGTGAACAACAACTCAACCTGGAGCTGGGCTGCTTGTGAGGCGACGGCGTAGGCTGCAATGGGGCTGCAGTGGGTGCCGTAAGCTACTGTGAGTGGCCAGGAGCTGGCATGAGCTGCCCTGAGCCGCCGTCCAATGGCTGGTGACCTATCTGCCTCATCCGGGAAGAATGCAATGATCACAATACCAACATGGGCCAATGAAGCAACATCCTCCAAAACTTGTCTGAAGAACAAAAGGACAGCAACTTGTCTGTTCCCCTTCCCCGATTCCCCAACACTGTTCCCCTCTCCCAATTCCCCAAAATCTTTAAAAAAACAAGAGATAAACCGAATAGAAAGGAAATAATAAAACGAAAAGCCGCTTCTTCAAAAAGATAACAATATTGACATATCTTTATCTAGATGGATTTAGAAAAAAGGAAAGAAGATTCAAATTACTAAAATCAGATATGATCTAACTACTATGCTGTACACCTGAAACTAATATAAAATAATACTGAATGTCAACTATAACTGAAAAAAATAATTAAAAATAAATAAAATCAGAAATGAAAGCGGAGGCATTACTGCCAATTCTATAGAAATAAAAAGGGTTATATGAGAGTACTATAAAGAACTGTACACCAACAAATTGGATAACCTAGATGAAACGGATACATTCTTGGAAACACAAAACCTACCAAGACTAAATCAGAAACAGCGAATCTGAATAGACCTAAAACTGGAAAGAGATGGAATCAGTAATCAAAAATCTCCCAACAAAGAAAACCCCTGAACCTGATGGCTTCCCTGTTGAATTCTACCAAACATTAAAAGGACTAATATCAATCCTTCTCAAACTTTTCCCAACTCATTGTATGAGGCCAGCATTACTCTGATACCAAAACCAGACTAAGACACTAAAAAAAAGAAAACTACAGGCCAATATCCCTTATGAACACTGATGCAAAATCCTCAACAAAATACTAGCCAACAGAATTCAGCAGCATATTAAAAGGATTATACACCATAATGAAGTGAGATTTATTTGAATTCAAGGATGATTCAACGTACAAAAAAAATCGATTAATGTAATACACACTAACAGAATGAAGATCAAAACCACATGATCATCTCAACTGATGCAAAAAAAAGCATTTGACAAAATTCAACTACCTTTCATGATAAAAACATTCAACAAATTAAGACTAGAAGGAAACTAATTCAACATAATGAAGCCACGTACCTTAGGAATTAACCAAAAAAGTGAAAGACTTGTACGTTAAAACTGTAAGACACTGCTGAAAAAAAATTAAAGACAACATACATAAATGGAAACATATCCCATGCTCATGGATTAGGAGACTTATTAAAATGTCAATACTACTCAAAGCAATCTACAGATTCAATGCAATGCCTATCAAAATCCCAATGTTTTTTACAGAAATAGAAAAACCCATTCTAAAATTCATAATGGAATCCCAAGGGACCCTGAATAGCAAAACAATCTTAAAAAATAACAAACATGAAGGACTCACACTTGCTAATTTCAAAACTTACTACAAAGCCTACAGTAATCAAAACAGTATGGTACTGGCATAAAGGCAGACATAGACCAATGGAACAAAATAGAGAGCCTAGAAATAAGCCCTTGCACATATGATCTAATGATTTTTGACAAGGGTTCCAAGGCCATTCAATGGGGAAAGGACAGTCTTTTCAACAAATAGTGCTGGAAAATCTGGATATCCACAGGCAAAAGAATTAAGTTGGACCCTTATCTAACACCACATATATTTTAAAAAAACCTCAAAATGGATCAAGGACCTCAATGTAAGGCCTTAAACAATAAAACTCTTAGAAGAAAACATAGGACAAAAGCTTCATAACCATGGATTTGGCAGTAGTTTCTTGGATATGACACCCAAGGCACAGGTAACAAAAACAACAAAAAGAATCCATTCATGAAAGTTTTTAAATTTTGTGCATCGAAAGACACTAACAGCAGACTAAACAACCCACAGAATGGGAGAAAACATTTCCAAGAACATCTGATAAGGGGTTAATATCTATATACATAAGACAACTCTTAAAACTCAACAAAAGAAAAACCACCCATTTCAAAGGACTTCGTTGACGTAATAAACGTTCAAACCTGTACAGAATTTTTATGAGTTTATTTGAGCCAAATTAACAACATATGCCGGGGAGTAAGATCTCAAATGCTCCAGAAATGACAGTTTGGCAGCTTATTTTATACATCAAAATCAAAGGAGACAACGTAAGGAAGATGTACAAAAACCACTGGTGGTAGATTTAGGAGATAGGAGAAAGCGGGGGGGGGGGGGGGGGGGGGGGGGGATCTCTAGGATTGGATAAGAGGCACAGTGGAGAAACACATACTTCTTACATTGGTGGGTACAGGAAAGTTGATAACTAACATTTACAGTACACAGAAATGGTATGTGGGCAACAAGATAACAATGACGGGCTCTGTGATCTTCTGCTCCAGTGGTTTATGTTCTGGTGCTGGCAGTTGTGCCATCGAGGGTTAGGAAAAGAAAATTACTCTGACATTTCAAAGATATGTGATCTTAGAGAGATAAGAACAATGGACAGAGATCACTTAAAGATTGACCTTTGCTAAAGAAGCAATAGGCCAGGGCCAAGACTACCGGCTATGACGTGCGCAGTTAGGAATCTATGATCCTGTGTGATTACTTTCAGTCACTGAGCTTGTGAGGCCCGCCATGTGGTCCCCCTGAGCTTGTCAGATTTACTGCATAGCACCTTTCTCGTTCCCAACTTGAACAGACATTTCTCCAAACATATACACCAATGGCCAAAAAAGCACATGAAAAGATGCTCAACCTCACTAATCATTAGGGGAATACAAATCAAAACCACAATGAGATACTACCTCACACCCATTAGGATGGCTACTATCACGAAAACAAAATAACAAGAGTTGGTGAGAATGTGGAAAAGTTAGAACCCTTGTGTACTATTGCTAGAAATGTAAAATGGTACATACAGCTGCTGTGGAAAATAGTATGGCAGTTCCTTAAAAAATTAAAAATAGAATTACCGTATGATCCAGAATTTCCACCTCCGGGTATATACCCAAAAGAGCTGAAAGCAGGATCTCAAAGAGATATCTGCATACGCATGTTCATAGCAGCATTATTCACAATAGTTAAAACAAGGAAGCAACCCAAGTGTTCATCAACAGACAAATGGATAAGCAAAATGGGGAATATACATACAATGGAGTACTATTCAGCCTTTAAAAGGAAGAAAAATCTGCAATATGCTGCAACACAGATAAACCTTGAGGTTATATTAAGCAAAATAAGCCAGTCACCAAACCATTAAGCGAAATAAGCCAGTCACCAAAAGATAAATACTGTATAGCTCCACTTATATGAAGTACTTAGAAGAGTCAAAATCATAAAGACAGAAAGTAGAATGGTGATTGCCAGGGGCTGGGGGGAAATGGGAAGCTATTGTTTAATGGGTACAGTTTCAGCTTTATAAGATGAAGAAAGTGATAGACAGATGGTGATGGTGGCTGTTGCAAACTATGTTGATGCATTTAATA